TGAAGGCAACCCATTGATGAAGTTTGGAAGTTTGGTTAGATGTTCCACAGAATAGATTTTGTATCCATCACAAAGAGATGACATCTTGACATCGGGGCTTGATATATATATATATATACACTGTGTACAGATTTACATTTGTTTTGTTATTGTTACATTCTAACTAGAACTATTGTATTTACCTGTGCAGGACTCAAGCCAAATTATGTAGGAAACAAACTAAGAAGATAACAAGATTTACCACCAGGAGTAGAGTAACCCTGAAAAGTCTGACAATACTCCTGGCATTCAAAAGAACATCAGATTCAGAAAAGTCTAATACAGATTTGGATGACTTAATATGAGTAAATATTTTGTACTAAAATGTTCTTGTAAATGATGATATATGGTGGCCAAGTCCAGAAAATTAAAGTGAGTTTGACAACTACGATGATCATTTGTGAGTAAGTGACTCCATGTCAGTTCTGGAATACTCAGTCAGCATCTCTGTTATATTGTGTTCTCCTTTTGCCTCTTCTTATCATGGACTGTCTACATGCACAGCGCCATCTAGTGGCTGACAGGCAGATGCACAGTCTGCTCAGGTTGGAAGGGAGCCAAGGGATGCCAGGTTTTATATATTTTTGTATGATTTAGAAATTTTACCAAGCACGTGAGGAAGAGGAGATGTCACTGAAGAATCCTGGACTTTGTATTATGCTGTCGCTCAGTGATTGTTAAAGCCATGAAGAGGAACTCAGCATAGCAATATTTGTATTAAAATTATAACCTGATATAACCTCCTTCTAAGAGTACGGTTTCTTTTTATAATGTCTAATATGCTGCTAGCTACCAGTGCAGGGATCTGAAATGTACCTACAGTGTGAAGACCAGTCTTCTGAACTTGGGTTCTTCAGAGGTTCCTAGGAGATCCTTGAGCAATGAGCAATTTCTGCCTCTCGATCACTGACACCAATTATGTTTTTGGATATAACCCTAAGGAGGACATTCTTCCCAATGACCTCCAATATAATGTGAGTTGTAGATATACTGTAGTTGTTATCGTCAGGGGACCTGAAAGTTAATTCAAGGTTTCTTCCATGTAGGTTGAGGAAGCCTGGAGTACACACTTCTTCTCATAGCCAACTGTTCTAACTATGGAAGCTGCACTGTTAGTTGACATTATATTGTAATGGGGACTAGGTACTGACTCATAGTATTCCAAGTAGACAAAGTGAATGTATTCATTTATTTATATTTGGTAATTTCAGCAGCCAACGAAGAACAGCATCCATATTCTACCAAGAATTCCAAATAGACCAAGTCCGTCCCCCACCTTCTCAATATAGACCAAGCCTCTCCTCCGTCCACTCCATATAGACCAAGCCCCTCCTCCCCAATACATATAGACCAAGCCCCTCCTCCCCAATACATATATACTAAGCCCCTCCTCCCCAATACATATATACTAAGCCCCTCCTCCCCAATACATATAGGCCAGGTCCCTCCTCCTCCTACTACTGTATATAGTTCAAGTCCCCCCTCCTTCCAGAGAGAGGTTCAGTGTTAGAGTTTACATACACTTAAAATGAATAACACTATATCCTACCACCTGAAGAAAGTTTTCCTTCTGCAGAATATAATATAATAATTGGTGGGTAGACCCAAGTATAGCGTTTATATACATGTAACAATGTGTAACGCTATACCCTACCACCCCAAAGACAGTTTTTCTCCAGAAGAATCCTTGGTGGGTAGACCCAAGTATTGAGTTTATATACACGTAACAATGTATAAAGCTATATCCTACCCCCCGAAGAGTATGTTTTCCTCCGGAAGGATTCTTAGTGGGTAGACCCAAGTATTGAGTTTATATACATGTAACAATTTATAAAGCTGTATCCTTCCACCCCTCCCCTCCCCCCAAAGTAGGCTTTCCCCGTGAAGGATCCCTGGTGGGTAGTGCCAAGTATTGAGTTTATATACATGTAACAATGTGTAACAGTATATCCTACCACCCCAAAGACAATTTTCCTCCTGAAGAATCCTTGGTGGGTAGACCCAAGTATTGAGTTTTTATACACGTAACAATGTATAAAGCTATATCCTAACCTCCCCCCCAAGTAAGTTTTCCTCCTGAAGGATCCTTAGTGGGTAGACCCAAGTATTGAGTTCATATACATGTAACAATTTATAAAGCTGTATCCTTCCACCCCTCCCCTCCCCCCAAAGTAGGCTTTCCCCGTGAAGGATCCCTGGTGGGTAGTGCCAAGTATTGAGTTTATATACTGTACATGTAACAATGTGTAACACTATATCCTACCACCCCAAAGACAATTTTCCTCTTGAAGAACCCTTACTAGTATTGAGTTTCCTCCTGAAGAATCCTTGATGAATATACTGAACAGTGTAAAGATAACTTTTCTGAAATAAATCAAATAACAATAACCCAGAAATCAAATACAAACTAACTAGTGTTGGGAAGAATACAATGAAAGCTTTGGCAGCGCTGAAAGAAAGAGGCAAACGAAACAAATAAAACACAGCGGCCAATGTAATATTAAACAACACGAATCCTGAGACGATTGACCCAGTGAGATAAAGCTGGAGAGACTAATGCCCCAGGACTAAAGTAATGCACAATCAATAGTACCCCATGCCAAAGTTGAAGCAACGGAGAAACAAAAAATAATAAATCTGAAAAAAAGTTAACTCAAAGAAATGGGGAGACTGGAGGCAAAGATCAAAAATAACAGTAAAAAAATTATATTAATACAAAAATTTGGGGATGCAACAAATTTTGGAGAGCATTTCAATGACAGAGCTTTATGTGCTGCACGTTACAAGTGGACAGCTTCCTCCAGTGTTTAATGTCCTTGTGGCCCGGAGTAAATCTGGTCAACACATAAGCTTATCACAGACCTGAGCCAGTCAGTCTCAGCCTATCATAAAAAAATTATACTTATAGTTGATATCAAAACATTCTGGAGATAGAGGCAGGTTTAAGATTATTTTGGGCAGATTAAAATGTGTAAGTATCTGAATTTGACTTGGTATTAGTCCTTTGTACAGCAGAGCTCAGACTGGGAGAAAGAGAAACAGTATAAGAAGCCAATCAGTTGTGCTGCAGTGCTAACAAGTAACAAGCTGACAGTAGGAGAGAGCAGAGTGGCAGGGAGACGATCACAGGCTTGGGGCAGGGACATGACTAGCGGTGTCACCAGGTTGGGTGTCACCTGGTGCGGCTGCTGGGTGCCACCTGGTGTGTGTTATTATGTATACACGTGACATCATAATGCACACGTGTAGTGTCGTCACCTGCACTTCACTGCCACTGGCCATCTTGGTGATGGACGCCGACAAAGAGAGGAGGGGAAGTTTATACGGTGGGATAAGGTATGCCGCCAGGTCCCCTCCTCTCTCGTGCAGCTTTCAGGCTCTTGGTCCATGACTGAGTGCCCTACGTTTAAGAGAGGGTGACACCAAAATGACTGTCAGTCATTTTGGTAACACCCCCTCTGATGGTGTCACCCTATCACATATCTGTGGCAGAGACCGGAAGATGATGAGGCTTCTCTTGCGGCTCGTGTCCTGCAACCCCTGGGGATGGAACAGAAGGCTGCAGGACAGCGAGGAGCACGAGTGCCACGGATGGAAGCAGACACCGTGCAGGAGATGTCTGGTAGCGAAGTCAGCAGGCCAAAGGTCAGTACCGGGGCGGGCAGCGTGGGAACAGATTTAGGTGACAGGAATAGTGGTCCAGAGAGCCAAGGGTCAGAGCCAGCCGGGCAGCAAGGTACCGAATCAGAAGGCAAGAGCGAAGTCCAGGAAACAAGACAAGGTCAGGGGCAGGCAACAAGCAGCAGAGTGGTCCAAGACAATCCAGGTCAAAACAAGTCGCGGGCAGAATCAACAGGAAGCACTAGCTGACAAGACCATCAGCAATGTTATGAGCTCAGACTTGTTCTTATATAGCCACCCATGAGGTAAGATGTCACTTCCTGTCAGTGGCGTCACAAGGGGGGTGCGGCCGCACCCGGGTGCCACCAAAATGACTGACAGTCATTTTGGTGCCACCCCCTATGAAATGTCCAAGAGCCGACAGTGTCAGGAGAGAGGAGGGGACCTGGGCAGCATACCTTATCCTGCCGGGTGAACGTCCCCTCCTCTTTCTGCCGGCGTCCATCACAAAGATGGCCGCCGGCAGGCGTCAAAAAGACCACTGCGCATGCGCGGCAACGTGACACCCTCCACCCCTGGGTGACACCCGGGGGCGGAGGGACAGTCTCCGCCCCCGGGTGACACCCAGCCTTGGGACGCCACTGCTTCCTGTGCACCTGCTGTTTGTCCGTCTTCGGTCGTGCATGCATACGCACTAAGGTCCGTCTTCGGGTCTTAGCGCAGTCGCCATTCTACCCTTACACACCCAGTGCGGGCCGCACCCCCCATGTAATGCACTGGACATGACCCTGTTGTATTACATAAGCACAAAATTCGGCTGTCTAGGTTGGCTGCAGCCTAGAGACACCAGGTGCAGGTGCAGTCTCTGTGCTCTCTTTGGCTGTGCTGTCTGGCAGGGCTGCATAAATCTGCAGATCGGCGGTCTCTCTGCAGAGGTCAAAAAACGGCCCCTGCAGAAGTCAGACCTATAGCTCTACAATTAGTAAATCTCATGCTCTTTGCTGTTTAGAGAGCTCTAGATCTGACTCATCAGGGGGCGTATCTGACCTCTGCAGAGAGACCACTGCTTCCACACAGAGAGCAAAGATCCTTCTCTGCAGCAGCTGGCACGCCACAGGCTTTTCTACTCAGGCTGTGGCTGCCTTCTCAAGAAAACGCGACCTTGCACACCGAGACTTTGCACACCTTCGGTTTTGATGCCCCCTGAATGTTTTTAGCCGTTCAGTTGGACTTTATGCCTTCCATTAGGTTGAGTCGGTGGGTGTTCAATGCCTAGAAGTCAGTTGGTAGGTCATTTTCTGTCTGGGAAACAAGTAAGGTTTCATGATCATCTCTCGCAGCAGATAACAGGCACTCGCACACACCGTGCTATATCATAGCGGAATATTCCGCCTTTGCCCACGTTGACTTTTCTCTGCCCTTGTCCACTCTCCTACACAACCACGACCCCAATCGCTTCACTGAAAATTACCTGGAATATTCTGCGTCTGCCAGAAAAGATGATTTACAGTCCTGTAAGTGAAGACACCATCAGGAGACCCTAACCCTCCCCCCCAAAAAAGATAAAACTGCCGGTGTTTAATGAACAGGTCCTAAGGCGCTTTCTTCAAGAGGGTATTTGCATGTCCCAGGTGGTCGCTGTCGTCCTCTAGCTTCTGCATAACGTGCAGATCGAGGTATGGCTGTCGCCGTGACATTGTCCTATGGATGCGCAGGCAAGGGCTTATGTATCAGCCTCATTCCCTGTATTCATGTAGCATCTCAGCTCAATCAGAGTCCCCAGCTGTCCCTGTTCTGGAGGGACTGTCTCTCTTTTGCAGTCCATGTACCCATTGCACTCCTTACCGCTGATCCATAGTAATAGGTTGGGTGCATCAGTAGTCGACGGATGGCCACCGTCTGAATAGCATAAGAAATTATGGACACCGGCACTCCAAGGTAGAATAACGTCTATTTATTGACGTTTCATGCAACAATACACTTATTGCAACGTTTCGGGGTCACACAGGATCCCCTTCATCAGGCAGATGAACCCCCAAGTTCCTGCTGAGTTTCTCATCCTTCCAAAGCTTTCATATCAGCATACTACATGGTCAAATGGCTACATTCAGACCTAAGGAGGCACTTGTGTTCCTAATCCCTGCATAGTAAACCCCCCCCCCCCCCCCCCCCATGTCGTATTTTG